TGATGCTGCTTGGCCTGCTGTGTTCATCCAGCCCTGCACCTTGTTGTCTCGGATTCTCCAGCATCTGCAGTTCCTACTATCTCTGATTCAACTATACTGAAGAAAGATTTCGTTTAGGTTTGAAAGCCATCCAGGGGTGTGGGGAGAAGGCAGGAATGTGACATTAAGTTAGAAGATTGGTTATGATCATGTTGAATGAACTTGAAGGCCCAAGTGGCCTGCTCCTCCTACTTTCTATGTTCCACCTTCCACCCAAAAGCACCTTGTGTACCAATGGTGTTACTTTTTTGAAGTAGTGGCTGCAGTAATCTCTGTGGTGATCTGAATTTGTGCAGTGAGATTCCACAAACAGCAATGTGATAACCATCCAGATAATGGTCTGATTTTGATTGAGGGTGAAATTTTGAACAGGACATTGGGGGTGCAATTCTCCTGATCTCCTTTGAAATGGGTGCCATGGAATCTTCTGTGTCCACATGGGGCCTCAGTTTACCATCTCATCTAGAGGGTGGCACCCCAGACAGTGCAGCACTCCCTCTATACTACACTGAAGTGTCAGCTTTGATTTTTGTATGGAGAGCCTAGAGTGAGACATGAACCTTCTGCCATGGGCAAGAGTACGACTGAGTGAGCCATGACTGTAACTCCAATCAGGTCATCACAGGTTGTGACACTGAAGCCACCGCCACCAGTATTTCAACACCTTTCATTTATGTAGTACCTGTAAAGTAGTTAAGTGTTCTAAGGTGATTCACAGAAGCAAAGTTTGATATTGAGCCCCATCAGATGATATCGTGATAGTTGACCAGGAGGTGTGGTCAAAGAGTTGGAATTTGCTGAGATCTTAAAGGATAACAGAGGAATGGTAGAAGTTGGAATGACACAGGAGGCCAGAATTAGAGAAGTGCAAATATCTTGGAAGCGTTACAGTGCTGGAGATTGGAGAATTTGCCCCACAATTGCCAGGAAATGATTATCTCCAACGAGATAGAATCTAATCATCTCCCCATGAAATTCAGTTGCATTTTTTAAAATTCATTTATAGGACAGGGGCGAAGAGTCAACCACATTGCTGTAGGTCTGGAGTCACATGTAGGCCAGAGTAGTTAAGGATGACAGATTTCCTTCCCAAAAGGGCATTAGTGAGCCAGATAGGGATTTTTTTAACAACAGTTAGCAATGGATTCATTGTCATCATTAGACTGTTGATTCCAGATTTTTATTGAATTCAAATTTCACCATTTGCCATGGCAGGATTCAAACCTGGGTCCCCAGAACATTACCTGGGTCTTCAGATTGACAGTCCAGTGACAATACTAGGCCATCACCTCTTCTTATCTTCATCCCTTATTATCATCACTGAGTTCCCATTTACCGAACTAATCGTGTAAATAATCTGGCTGCTAGATTGATCATGTATGTGAATGCATGGTATGGTAAGATTAGAGAGTTGATTAGATAGTAATAGTGTGAAGGGCAGACAGAGACAAGATTTCATACATTGTGTCCAGGAGATTTTCTACAGCATTTTATTTCTAGTTCAACTTGAAAGCAGGCATTTCTAAATGTGGTTCTTGGGAATGAGATGAGTTATGTAGATTAAGTGTCAGTAGGAGAACAAACTAGGAGACAGATCATTGTGTCATACAGTTTAGGCTGGCTGCAGAAAAGGACAAAGAACATTCCACAGTAGGAATAATTAAATGGGGGAAAGCAAATTTCAATAGGATAAGAACAGATCAGAGCTGAACAAACTGGAGTCGAAGGTTAGCAGGAGAAATGGTACCTAATCAGTGGGCTACCTCTGAAGAACAGTTGGATCCAACACAATCAAAGTATATTCTCATGAAAAGGAAAGGTAGGACAAACAAATCCAGAGCTTCCTGGATGACCAAAGAAGTACAAATTAACACTATGAAGAAAATGTGTGCTTACGACAGATGTCAGGTATAAAATAGAATTGACAACTAGGCTAAACACCAAGTTCAAATGAGTGATAAAGGAAATAAGAGAAGCAAAGAGTGAGTGAAGGAACAGAGATATATTTCCATATCAAGATGGTAAGTGGCTTAGAGAGCAAACTCCATTCTTGTGACTATTGGAAAAAAACAAGCAGCCATGGAGAGGGGGAGAGAGAGAAAGGTCATAATGGTAGTGAATCCAGTACAGGTAAAACTACTCTTGATGTGTATGAGAGCGCGAGCGAGATCCAGGTTTAGATGGGAGATGAGAGCGCATATCTATAAGACCAAGAAATAGGAACAGGAGTAGACAATTTGGCCCCTCGAGCCTGCTCCACCATTCCGTAAGATCATGGTTGATCCACCGTTCTTCACCTCCACTTTCCTGCATTTTCCCCATAATCCTTGATTCCCCAACTGATCAACAGGCAACAACAAGAGGCAGATTTCCTTCTCTAAAGGTCATTAATGAACCAGATGGGTTTTTATAACAATGCTGGTATCAGATTCATTATTACTGAGAATAGTTTTTAATTACAGATTTATTTTTAAATTTAAATTCTGGCTGTCATAATGGGATTTTAAGTCTCTAGCTCAACATGAAGCAATGAATGTGAGAAAAAATTTTCACTCAGCTAATGGGTTATGTCTGGAATGCACTGCCTGTGTTAGTTGTAGTGGCAGGTTCAATTGAAGCATTGTGGCACTAAATCAAATGCCTTCTGGGAGTCCCCATAAACCACATCAATGATGTTGCCTTCATTAACCCTTACTGTTACCTCTTAGACAAACTCCAACAATTTAGTTAAACATGATTTTCTATTAAGAAAATCATGCTAGCTCCCTTTAATTAACCTGTATTTGTTTATGTTACTTAAGTTTATCCCAATTTTTTCCAATTATTTCCCCACCACCGCAGGTAAACAGACTGGTGTGGTTCTGGCTTATCCGCAGAGAGCTGTAGAGTCCAAGACATTGAGATTATTCTGAGATGGACAGATTTTTAACAGTAAGGGAATTGAGAGTTATGAGAAAAGGCAGCAAAGTGAATTTAAGGATTATCACATCAGCCATGATCTGATTGAACCTGCTCTGCCATTCAATGCTCCTAGGTCTAATGGTCTTATCTTTACACCCTTTTCTTTGAACAAGGATGTAAATGTTTGCAAATCTCCAATCCCCCGTCACCACCACTGAATCACAAAAGATTGAAAATTATTTACTAGTGCCTGTGCAATTTGCAGTCTGGGTTTGCATTATTATCCTTAGATGCATCTTGTCTGATCTGGTGCCTTGTCAACTTTAAGTACAGATGGTCTATCCAATATCCCTTCCACATTTAACATGAGCTACTCCTAGCTACTGAATTTCCTCTTTCACCATGACCTGGGTAGCATCTCATTCCTTTGCTTCCGTGCATAAATCCCCTTTTTGATACCTAATCAGCAATACTTATTTATATGCATATAATAAACTGGGATTAACTTTTCAATATTTGTTTTAATCATCCTCTTCAGACATGTTATAACAGTTATCACAGGTAGGGGTGGAGGTTAGATAGACCTTAGGTTTAGGGTAAAAGTTCGGCACAACACCATGGGCCGAAGGGCCTGTACTGTTCTGTGTTCTATATTCTATCTCTGTGCCAGAAGGTTCTTGAACCTTGTCTTTTTGGTCCTGTTCTGACATAGATTGTTTGTAGCACAACAAGCCCACTTTCAGCCACTCACCATTCCCATTACCTCTTATCTAACATTTCTTTTTCCATGGCTTGCTATCAACAATCCCTTTGTCTGTCTAATTTTTTTGTCTCTCTCTGGTTGCCATCTCCACCTATCCTCCTTTACCCCCCTACCCGCAGTCATCAGCGTAAATAGCACTTTTTTCCCACCTGTTGTCAGTTCTGAGGAAGGGTCACTGGAATCAAAATATTAACTCTTTTTTTTTGTCCACAGGTGCTGCCAGAACTTCTGAGTTTCTCCAGCAATTTCTATGTTTGTTTCAGATTTCCAAAATCTGCAGTATTTTGCCTTCATTTGAGTATGTATATAGTACTAACAGTGAAGGACAACTTGATGTTCAGTATTGTTTTTCTAAAACTGACTCAGCATTTCAGTTTTCCATATGCACAGTTAAATGCTGAGAACTAGAAATTGCTACAAGTGATTCTGTGCTTCGCATAGGATGTGCTGTTGAAATCTGGCCACCCACAATTATCAGATTTTTCCTGGTCACTGTTAGTTTCACAGTACAAACCACTGCTTCTGGATGCCTGGAGATCCTGGGTGACTTAACACCAGTTCACGCTTGTGCTGAGGAAATGGAAAGTCCACGTCACAGAGTGTATTTTTTCCTCTCTAAATTACTAATTTAATCAATATCCCATTTTATCAAAAAACTTAAAATGTCCAAAACCAGATTTTTAGTTAGAGGCTTCAGCCAGTATCAGTTTTGTTGTCTGTTGTAATTTTCCTGCTTCACATGCAGATTCCAAAAGTGAATGTGTCTCCATCATGTATTGGGCCTTTCATGTTTCCAATGATGGATCAGTTGCTGTCACCCATAACTTTCACATTGGTCTGAGTAGATAATTTTAATCATTCTGTTCAGACATTTTATGACACACCTTTGGTATAGGTGTGACTTGAATCTGGGCCTTTTAGCTCAGAGGTAGGGATACTGCCACAATGCCACAAGAGTCCTCTGCATGAACCTAAGCGCGCTGTACCAGTTTCTTCATGAACTTGTTCATTTTTGTCAGTGCTTGGCTAGTTATGCAGACTGAGAGTAGGCTGTTAGTTGGAGGTGCATGATAAGAAATGTATAAAGACCAGACTCAACTGTTCTGTTGCTGACCTGAATACCCAAATTCTAACAGAGCTTTGCTTTTGCCTGACTATTGGGTAAAATGGTTTAAATTTAAATTTGTCAATCAAAAGGAAAGTTGGTATGTTTTAATGAATTCTCTTTACTGCTTTAATTTTCGTAAAAGGTCATGAATGCATCTGCAGGCCACTAATTATGTTACCTGATGAATCTGTAAGCGTTTAGAATGTATTTTTCAAAAATTCCTCCTTTTTGGTTTATAGTTCTGAAAGAGACCTTGGAAAAGAGAGGAGTACTAGGCCAACTGAAAGCTAGAATTCGAGCTGAGGTTTTTAGTGCGCTTGATGATCAGAGTGAGCCACGGCCGCCACTTTCCCACGAAAATCTTCTAATTAATGAACTTATCCGTGAATATCTTGAGTTTAATAAATACAAGTACACAGCATCAGTGCTGACAGCAGGTACGTACATTGTGTTGAATGATGAAAGTACAAAAAAAAATGTACTTTTTAAACTTGTAGTTTGTAGCAACTTGTATATTAAATTGATCCAATCAATCACACTTTGCAGCTTGAAAGGCTGCAAATTAGCTTATAATTAAAACAATGCAGTTCATTCTCCAGCACTACATTATTAGTCTTAATTTACATTAATGTTCAATTTCCTGCTACTGTAAATTCATTAGATTCATGTCATGCAGTTTTAGCTACAAATGAGTGATGGAGCTCAAATCAAGCTACCCAGTTTAAATAACTGCACAGACGGTATCCCGTCACCAAGTCACCCTTTATTTAGAAATAGTAAGAACTGCCGATGCTGGAGTCAGAGATAAGACAGTGTGGAGCTGGAGGAACACAGCAGGTCAGGCAGCATCAGAGGAGCAGGAAGACCCGAAATGTCAGCCTTCCTGCTCCTCTGATACTGCCTGACCTGCTGTGTTCCTCCAGAACCACGCTGTGTTATCTCACCCTTTATTTACTTGTGCAGGGTACGCTGTCTGTGGTCATCTAGTTCAGAGTCAGTCCCCTGAACTGAGGAGATTCTAAATCTCTTAATATTGGTCAGCAAGGGCATTCCTGATTGGTGTTGTTAACCTGGGCCAATCAAGGACCTGTTAGTCAACAAGGTCCATCTGGTTCCACCCATTACATTACCAACCCTCACCCAGCCACCCACCCACCAATTCCTGGAATGGAGGCCTGCTCCTTCTCATTGCTTTTCCTGCAATGTTTTCACCCCAGGTCTGGTTCCTATAATTCGGACTCTGCTGCGGGCTACATGTACTGGACCGTAGCCCATCTCTTGCATCCAGAGCATCTCAGGAGAGCTTCCTTCTCCTCTTCCAGCAGTAACGGTATCGAGGCTGCATCCAGCTTGGACTGAGGTTTTCTTGACACTAGATGAAGGGGAAGAACCTATGGTTTCTGACGGGCCTTCTGGCTGTTCTGAGGGGCCAGGTATGTTCCTGCCCCGTTTGAGAGGTGACAGCTTTCAGGTGATAAACATGTTTGTTCAGGACTATATCACCTACCTGAACTTTGTAAGTCACGGGACCTGACCTCGCGTCAACCTCGCCTCGTACCCATACGAGGCCATTTCCATGGTTCCGAAACCAAACTTCATCCCCTGAATTAAATTGTCTCTCTCATTTAGAGGAGGCATGTGGCCGGCGTTGGCATTCCTGCTGCAGTTTCATACTCCCGCCAGGTCTGGAAATATCAGGTTTAACTTGGTGCGGCGTCTTCTCCCCATCTGCATCTCTGCAGAAGCTATCCTTGTTGCGTGTGTGGTGGTCCTATATTCAAACAGGAACCAGCACAGTTTGATATCAAGTGATGCTGTAGGCTGCTTCTTTAAGCTTACTTTCAACATTTGGATTGCTCTTCCCGCTAGACTATTGGACAATGGATGGTATGGAGCTGTCTTTATGTGCTGAATGCCATTCAACTTCAGGAAATGCTCAAATTTCGTGCTAGTAAATGACGTCCATTGTCTGTGACCAATACTTCTGGGAGTCTGTGTATTTCGAACAACGCTCACAGCTTATCATTTGTCATCCCTGAGTTTGCCAAGCAGATTTTATGCACGACCAACCACTTTGAATGGGCGTCCACATTTACCAGGAATGTTGAGCCCATGAAAGAACCGGCATAATCGACATGCAACCGACTCCAGGTTTACCTACCCATTTCCATGAATGTGGTCTTTTTCGCAAAAAAGACCCTGAACTACCTGTTGCCTGCCACTTTAACGCACCACCCTGTTCCCTGGCCAACATCCCTGTGTCTAGCTTGCTGCAGTGTTCCAGCGAACCTCAACGCAAGCCAGAAGAATAACATCTCATTTTCCGCTTGGCGACTCTGCAGCCCTGCGAACTCCATATCGAGTTCAACAATTCTAGGAACTAGACTCTCCCATGTCCCGACCCCCTACCCCACATACCAGGCCTTGTTACCACATGGCCTGCCATCGCACACCAACTGTTTTTAGTCACTATAGTCCCCATTAACAATTATTCCCCTCCCAGCCTGATCGTTATCACCTCTGTCTATCCAACTGCTCTTCTTTCCTCTCTCTCTTTAGGTAGGCTCTATCCCATCGTTTACTCCCTACCCCATTCCCCTCCCTATTTTCTGCATATAAACTGACATTTTCCCAGCCACTGTCAGTTCTGAAGAAGGGTCACCAGAGCCAAAACGTTAACTCTGTTTTTTCCTTCACAGATGCTGCCAGACCTGCTGAGCCTTTCCAGCAACTTTGTTTTTGTCCATGAATGTGGGGCTGCCACTGGTGGCAATTTTTGTCCTTGTTGGAACGCTGGACGTTGCCCCACCACGCAGCTATGTTGGCATCCAACCCTGGCCACCAGACATAACCTCTTGCTAGCATCTTCATCTTGGAAGCCCCTGGATGACTCTGGTGGAGCTCAGCCAGTATCTGGTGGCAACCTTTACTCAGGATAATCACGCTTGCTCCCCAAAGTAATATTCCGTTCTATACGGTGATCTGGTCTTGCCGGATTCAGAAAGGTTCCAGTCCTTGTTGCGAAGGCCCTTCTATCTCCGCCAGTACGACCAGCTATTTTAGTTTTGCTAGGAAAGGATCTTTTTGTATCCGAAGTCGGATATTGTCAGTGGTGACCGCAAAGAAGTTTAAAACCAGAATGGACTCCTCCAGGGAGGCACCACCAGTGCAATATCTACCGATGGGAGGTGGCTCAGGGCATTTGCAAAGGCCTCTTGGCTTCCTGGACAGTGTTGTAGCTTGTACTTATATGCCCTGGGAATAAAGGGCCCACCGCTGAACTCTACCGGAAGCTATGAGTGGTATCGCCTTGTCTTCCTTCAGTAACACTAGCAGAGGTTTGTGATCTGTTACTGTGACAAATTCCCATCCTTAAAAGGTACTGGTGGAAGTTGCTCACACCAAAGATGACTGCCAAACCTACCTTCTCTTATCTGGGCATATTTGTGTTCAGCATTAGCCAAAGTCTGGGAAGCATAGGCTATTGGGCATTCCTTTCCGTTGGGCCACCGCATTAGCCAACACTACTACTGTACGGGGAGGCATCACATGTCAGCACTGCCTCTTGCGTCGGATTATACTGGGCCAACATCTTAGATAACGATAGCTGCTTTTTCACTTTTCTAAAGGCTACTTGGCTATGCGACCATTTCCAAGGCTGACCCTTTTCAATAGCAGGTGTAAGGGTGCCAAGATGGAGGCCAGGTGATGCACAAATTTGTAAAATTCACTAACCCAAGGAAAGACCTAAGCTCTGGTACAAACGTGGGAGGCGGGGCTGCTTTGATCACCCTCTTTATCTTCCAATGGGTGTAATCTGGTTTTGTCGACTCTGTAACCCAAGTAAGTCACTTGGGGCACCTGGAATACACATTTTTCCGTTCTAAGGTGTAAGTCCACCTTGGAGAAACATTTAAGCACGATGTCCAATTTCTCCAAGTGCTCTTTTTTGGTCTTCCTGGTTATTAGCACGTCATCCAGATAAATGGCAACCTGGGGTAGCCCTTGTAAATTTTTTTCCATGGTCTGATACCCCAATCGGCAGTCTTGTATATTGGTATAAACCCTTATGGGTGTTAATTGTGGCGTACTTCTGGGACTCCTCATCCAGTTGCAATTGCAGGTAGGGATGGCTCGTGTCCAGCTTTGTAAAGGACAGCAGCCCCCCACCTCCCCCCGCCCCCCCCCAACCTAACTTGGTATACAGGCCCTCAATGCGAGGTATTGGGTGTTAATCCAGCTGTGAGAAGTGACTTACCATTAGCATTACATCCCCACAAAGGCAAACTGAGCAATCAAGCTTCACAATTGGGACTACTGATGCTGCCCATTCCGCAAACTGCACTGGTTTGATAATTCCCTCGCTCTCCAGCCTCCTGATTTCCACCAAGCGGGCCTTGCAAAATCATGGAAATGCTTCCTGGTCGACATGTAACGTGGTTTGGTCCCTTTGATAGTCCCAAGCCCTTCCTGAAAAACTCCTGGGTATTTCACTAGGACTTCACTGAGGCAGCCATTTTCTAAACGAAAAATGTTGAGCCAATCTAGGTGAATCTTTCTCAATCAATTTTGCCCCATTGGTCTTGGGCCCGATCCTCATGCCACAATGAGTGGTACCTGGGCGAACTGCTTCTCATAAGAGAACAGAACCGAAGTCATATCCTTAATTTGTAACTGTTCCCCAGGAAATATTCTCTGTCTGGCTGAGGTCTTGCACAAACTTTAGGGTTGGAGACCTGGGTGAACCTTGTTAAAGACAAGTTCTACAACCACAGATACAACTGCACCGGTATCAATCTCCATGGGAACTATGTGACCATTTAATGAAACAGTTATTTTAATCGGTTCCAATTTGGATGTCGCTAAGTAATTTAATTGTTCCAACCCACATGTAGGGGGACTTTCCAGGGTGTGCACTCTACCAGCCTAGAGGTTTTCTTATTCAAATTAGGTCTTGTAAAACTGCTTTGCTGTTTCGAGTCTGCATACCAGCTGCAACTACAATGGCTTGCTGGCCTAGATCCTGAAGAACTTTTTAGCCACTTGGCCGAGACTGAGCTTTGTTGTGGGGTTCTGCTGTTGGCCTGCCTGTGGTCGTTCTGCTCAGGATATGCCTGCGTGAGGCTCTGCGATTGCCTACGCTCTAGTGGTGTACCCCAAGTTCAGTTGGACAGGTGAGAGTGTCCAGTTCTGTTGGGATGCCCTTTAGTTCCCATGCTCCACATGCTGCATTTTCTAATGACCAATCTAGTTGTAGTGCCTGTTTGAGTCCAGTTGGGCTTCAGCTAGTAGGCACTTCTGCATGGTTAAATCTTTAATTCCACATACCAAACAGTCTCTCAGCACCTCATTCAGGTTTAACCCAAAATCACATGCCTCTTAACCTCATCAAAAATCTCGAAATGGATTCCCCCAGTTCTCTAACAGCCAAATAAAA